AATAAAAAAATCTTTATTATTAATTTAATAACGTGCTCTATTAATTAAATTTTCACCTTGTATGAAAGGTAAGGTGACTGATTTATCTGCACCGATTTTCTTAATTTTGAGAGATCAGTTGATACTAATAAGAAAAGATCAACTTCTCATCTACCTCCACAAAGGTCTGAGAATCAGCCACTGTCCTCTTTTGCTGTGAGCACTACCTAATGTCCAGTTCAAACAGATTTGTACTGTTTCAAAGGTATTGTTCAGTGTTTTTCAATAAAGTAAGATCAGAACACCCAAGATGTATTGTGACCTTACAACAGCTGAATCGGCAGGTCAGACTTTTTAAAGATCGTGATCGGCCAGAAAACTGCAATCGGTGCACACCTACTATGCATGAAAACCATATAATAAGAAGTATTATTAATAAAAAAAAGTTAATGAGGGGGAAAAATTAATTAAATATTCAGAAACGGCATACCTGCTTTCCAGCATGTCAAAGTTTTAAAACCAGATGTTGCATCATCTGTCAAAACTTTCCTTAAAGTGCCTGTAACATGCATATCCATGAAATACAAAAAGTCAAAGAAAATATATTTATATTTCAGCAACTTGGCATAGTACACATGATTTTACCTGATTATGTCACATAATTGGCACATTTTCTTGACCTTGGCTCAGCTAAAGTGAAACAGGAAGTGACATCAAAGGGAAACTCTCTGAGAAAGAAAACTCTGGTTTTTGTTTATTTGAACTATGATAGTGATTAAAATCATCTAAAGAAACATCAGATTCTTCTCTACAGTCTGTGTTGTTAACCATTTTAGCAATGCTCTGTTCACATGCAGACATTCCCCTTTGACATCACTTCGTCTTACTTCACTTGCAAATATTTCAACAGACTGTTCACCTCAGCAACATGAAATCTTTTTTACAAAATGTTATCATTCTTATCCTTCCAACAGTACATTCATTTTTACTACAAAAAATTGATGTCACAGGCACTTTGTCTATGAGATAGTTGATAAAATCTCTGATGTGTGTTCCTTGTTTTGCTTCGAGGACTCATCTATATTTTCCTGTTTCAGGTTCACCACAAAGACTCTGAGTTTTTGTCCTTTTGGCTCTCGAACACATATCAGCTGCTCAACTGTCTGAAACAATACAGCGGGGAGGAAGTATGAATCTATTCACCTGTAGCTGTGGTCTCAATCTACGTATTCTCACATAAATCGGAACATAATATTTGTTTTGTCCACATTAGGATTTCCTGAAGCAGAGCACCCCTCGCCAGAAAAAGAACTGCCTTCAGAACTTTGATTTGTCTGAACACAGACAGATTCTCAGTGACCTGGCCATACACGTCTATCATCAGCTCATTCGGCTCATGCAGAAGACTCTTGCACCTGCTATTGGTATTTAAAACATCGTATTCACACACATTTGTTTCAAAGCAAACTAGCACATGCTTCCATGTCTTTATCACCAGTGCCTGGTATGTTGGAGCATGAGAGCTTACAGGGGATCTCCAGCATGAAACCGACGGGCTTCAGGAAGCGATCCAACAGTGTTTATAATGACTCCGAGAGCTACACCATATCCTCCATCCTGCAGCAGCTCTCCGCCTTCCACTACACCATGAGCCACCACGGCATGGAGCAGAGCCTGATCAGACAAGTGGTCAAACAGCTGTTCTTCCTGGTGGGGGCCACCACCTTCAACCACATCATGCTCCGCAAAGATATGTGCTCCTGCAGGAAGGGGATGCAGATCAGGTGTGGGCTTTGGTTCTTTGAGAGCCGACAGCTGGAAAGGGTTTGTTTTTAAAGTTATGTGTGTGTGTTTTTAGGTGTAACATCAGTTATTTAGAAGAGTGGCTGAAAGAAAAGGAACTTCAGAGCTCTAGCGCTATAGAAACTTTGAGGCCGTTGGCTCAGGCTGCCTGGCTGCTGCAAGTCAACAAGTCCACCGACGAAGACGCCAAAGAGATCGCTGAGAAATGCACCGAGCTCAGTCCTGTCCAGGTGGCTAATTCAGTGACGCGTTGCCTGCTTACTTTCTGCTCTTAGTGAGCTAAAAAACAAAAACTTGTGTTTAAATCTGCAGATTGTCAAGATCTTGAATTCCTACACACCCATAGATGATTTTGAGAAACGAGTGACATCCTCATTTGTCCGCAGAGTTCAGGTGAGTTCAGTGTTCAGCTTCAGGTATCTGAACAAAGATACCAAACACATCATTATGTTTCATGTTGCAGTCGTTGCTTCAAGACCACGAAGGGTCCACGCAGCTGATGTTGGACACAGATTATCGTTTCCAGGTCACATTTCCGTTCTGCTATTCCTCGACGGCTCTGGAGTTGCTGCAGGTCCCAACCAGTCTTCATCTGGACTTTCTAACCAGGATCTGATCCAACACACCCGACCTTTGACCTCTGACTCTTCATGACTGACTGAGACTTTAAAGACTTTTTGTAACACACCTGACTGCATACAATATGTAGACTTTTATTAATAAAAAATCACTTAAAATACAAAAACTGAGCTAGAAATAGAACATTTTTAAAAATAATATTAATATTTTGTATTGAATTTTGTAATCAGTGTTAATAAATTTAGTTTTGATGTTATAAATGCATTTTTAATTAATTGAATGTTTATTGTGTTTTTATTTAAAGTTTTCTTCTTGCTGTGTGTTAGATTTTTGGCTTTATTTTTGAGAGTGTTTCGTAGTTTAGATCACTAAAGCAAATATTGCACAAAATTTGTCCCGGATATGTTTTTAGAGGATCCAAATTTATATTAAAGAGTTGTTTCAGAAAAACTTTCTTCCTTCTGTGCAAATGCTGATTCAAAAATGTATTGTTTTCCTGCCCCCACCCCCCCAATCAGCTTTTAGATAGCGTTTAGCTATTTTTATCTTTTAACCAAAGGTTTGCTGATTTCAGCTTTTAGCTACTGTTTTACTAGATTTAGCTTTTTGCTTTGTAAATTTTAGTTTTTAGGGACTATATGGCAAACTATAGCTTTTAGTTGAGCTAAGTTTAGTTGTTAACTTGTTTTTCTAATTTTAACTTTTAGCTATTTTGTTAGAATTAGCTACTGTTTTGCAACTCTTTCACTAATTTTAGCGACAGTTTGGGCAATTTAAGCTACTACTTTTTTGCTAATTTGAGCTTTTAGCTGTGTGTGTGTACAGTGGTTTGCAAAAGTATTCATACCCCTTGAACTTTTCCATATTTTGTCACATTACAACCACAAACATAAATAT